CCCGGAGGGGCACGGGTTGAGACCTCTTAGTAGTAGCGAGGGGTAAAAACTTACTAGTAGCACGGGTTTATAACCCTCGCTACTACTATGGCATGGCCCAGGGGCACGGTAGAGACCGCTTAGTAGTAGCGAGGGGTAAAAACCAGCGCTACTGCTATCAACTTAGTAGTAGCGAGGGTTAAAAACCCGCGCTACTACTATGGCATGTCCCGCGGGGCACGGTAGAGACCGCTTAGTAGTAGCGAGGGTTAAAAACCAGCGCTACTGTCATCAACTTAGTAGTAGCGAGGGTTAAAAACCCGCGCTACTAGTAAGTAGCAGTAGCGAGGGATATAAACCCGCGCTGCTAGTAAGCGTCTGTGTATAAGCTTTTCCCCAGTAGTGATCTCCCGGACGATCAAACACAGCATTCAGGTTGCGCTTTACGGGGGCATCCCTAGCGCGAGCATGGCTGTCCTTCTTTTTGTAGTTGCCATCGGATTGTGAGCTCATAAAGCTACTGGCGCTAACATTGTTATTCTTCACTCCTTTCACATCATTCTTGGAGCCAGTGCTCCTCCCCGGTGAGGCTCTTAGCCAGCCGCCCCATTGCGCTGCTTTGTCAACAGGAGGGACACAACGCCCGTTTTCATGCACCAAACGCCCACACTCAAAGCAGAAGTGTGGGATCTTTTCATAGTGAAAGTCATATCAAGTGCCCAACTTATCCTCCTGTGAGTTTTTGAGGAAGAAACCCTGGACTAGAGGCTCAAAGAGTGGGATCCTTACTCTAACTCGCAGCTTGTTCCCTCTAGCCATACCATCCTTGTCGACATCCACTTTAACAACTTCGCCTAGCCAATTTCCCAGTGCTTTCCCGAATGCATCTTTTCTCTTGCCTGGTGGGAGATGCACGATTTTGACCCACACATCTATCCTGTCAAAGACCATCTCTGATGGCCTAACATTGCTCTCATACTCCTTCAAGGCCAGGACATTGAAATCATATTGCCATGGTCCATTATTCATTGCATGCCTCCAATCCCCTTCGCTCCCAAAGTGAACAACGAAGATGTTGTCGCCCATGTCCCGGAACCGTGCCTGGTGGTGAAGACCCCACGCCATCTGCATCATTTTCTCGAGCACTGTCCTGTTCAGCGGTCGCGGGGAGAACGCCTTCCCCACCGCCGACCACTTCATGTTCTTGGGCAAGATCTGATCTGGTTTCTCGAAGACGAAACCCTCCGCCTCCTTATCCAACAACACCATCCCTCCCATCCTCGCTGAGAGGCTCGCGGTAGGATCCGGCGTCTTACACGTCATCGGGGATCTTGAAGAGCCCCTACTCGTTGCTTTCCCCGGGGTCTGTCGCCGCCGGGGTTGCCTTCATCGCCGGGATCTCCGCCGAGTGCACCGTCGCCTTCTCCGCCATGGCACCGCTCCGTAGAGGAGAGAGGCTACACCAGTCCGTGTCGAGGGAGACGCAGTCGGTCAGTCGCCGCCCCAGACACCACCGTAATCTCACCACCCCCGTCACCAAAATCCTAACCCTAGCGCCGTCAGGAGATCGCCTCGCAATCGCCTGCTGGTCGCCCCTGAGCGTTTCGTACATGGTGGACCCAGCATGATAGGTCCCCAGCCACTCCTTTGTTACTTCTTCTCGACGCTAGCCCTAGTCATGCATTCTCTTGTTGGATTTATTGCCCGGATAGAATAGCAGGTGGTTGTGTTTTGCGTTGGAGAAATAAATGTGTTTACTATTTGTTCTGTTCACCTTTCAATGAGACCCATGTGGAAATAAAGCCAGACCACGACCCAGGGTGGTTTTCTCTAGATTACTGTAGACAATTAACAATCCGGTAGTGTTTCTATTGTTTTGTTTATTACACCAACTGTGGGATACATTAGCTAACTAACTTGTTTGGTTTAGTTTGCGGATTTTTTTCGTATGTCACTTGTTTAATGTTTTTAAATTCGAATGTGTTTGGTTGTGTACATCTAGTAGTTATGTAGGGTTAGGTTTGCACTCAGTGCGGTTTTATCACCTTGAGCCGACAATTGAATGAAATTCCCTCTACCAAAAAGGTAAAAGTTGTGCTAGATGTCGCCACTCTCGAGGGTTTGGACTTTGGAGAGGAAAGGGTTCAGGACCGCCCCCACAATAGGACCAATTGTTCATGTTCATGATTTGGCTTTTCGTTGTACTAATGACTTATGAATTGACAGTGATATCTGAACCACGCTAAGAAATTTTCATACGGATAGCAGCGAGGCCTTGTCCATGATTCTCTCTCAAAGAAGTTTGATCCACATATGCTTCTTGGATGATGAGATTAAGACACTAGCTAATTCTGGAACTAGGAATTTTAGCTTTTATAAATTTGCTAGAGATTATTATAGAGCTAGTCATGAGCTCACCTTTGGTGGAATACAGGCCCATACTCCTCGTTGGTTAGGGGTTCTTCCAGCAGAAGTGAACGCTGTGACCTATACCGAATGCACCCACCGTCCGATCAATATGTTCTCTTTTTCCTGGCGAAAAATGGTGTAGACTAAAAGAATCTGAGGCCTCTTTTGGATCATTATAGGAATAGGCTCATATTCATTTCTCCCTACTGTAAAAGACCTAATAAAAAGGCTCCAAAGAACTAGCGCACCAGAACAGCAACCGTCATCGATAAAGAGAATCGTAGATCGGAAAGATCCAACCTTTAGACATACGAATATAGACGAACGAATACCGGATCTGCAAAACAAGGATAGCTTGACAAGAAATATAAGGATTTTTCCTGGTTCTCGTGCGTAGTGATCACTGAGCAGAAGGGAAACAACCCAGAAACAGCAGTGAGCTTTCGATGTATACGCCGCGGACGCGGAGCGAACGACGTCGATCTCAGTGGCACTGTGGGAGGATGTACGTACGGGTTGTTTCATTGAAACGAAGGGGCCAGCCGGCCGGGTGTGAACGACGACGACGACGACGACCCAGCGAGGCGACGACCCCTGTTTGTTTACGCGTCTCGGTGAGACAATAAATTGGGGAGCCATGCCAGAAGAGGTCCCCTCATTCCACTCTCGTTCGCCGTAGTGCCACTGCGAAATCCCCCAATTCTCACCCACGTCTCTCTGCAAGTGCATGCACCTGTCGCTGGCGTCCGAGTTGCTTGCGTCCTCCTCGATCGCCGGGTGAGGTGCCAGGGTTTCACCACCGGCACAGCCCAGCCAGTTCGTGGCCGGCCATCCTCCACGGCTCAAGAGATCGATCGATCCCGCTAGGTACAAACCCCATCCCCCCTCGCATCTGCCTATGTCGTGCTTCCATAGATCTCGTCGTATGCCCACCTAGTGATGCTTGCGCCGGCACTTGGTGATCGCCCTCTAGATTTGAGTTCTTGGGCTTAATTAGTGGTTTCTTTAGTTCTTTTTGGAAAAGGTGCACCAGGGCCCCTGTTTGGCTTATTAGTGGCTAACTTCGATTAATTCTTTTTTCAGGCTTTCAAACGGGTGCCTGGTGACAATGGAGGGGATTCTGGTGAGTGCAGTGACAGGGGCCTTGGATGCTGTCCTCGGGAAGCTGGCCGACAGGTACAAGCGTCTCAAGCGGGTGCCTGATGACATCAAGTTTCTGACTGATGAGCTTACCGCCATGCCCACATTTCTCCAGAAGATGTCGGACGTGGAAGATCCCGATGTGCAAGAGAAGGAATGGACTGCCGTGGTGCGCGAGCTGTCCTACGACATGGAGGACTCCATCGACGATTTCATCCAATATGCCAATGACAAAGACACAAAGCCTGGCATCATAGAGAAGGCCAAGAACTTTTGGGAGAAGATAAAAACTCAACATCAGACTGCCCTTGACATCGAAGATTTGAAGAAACGTATCAGCGAGGTGGGCCAGAGGAATCAAACCTACAAGACTCCTCGGGCCTTCTCCAACCCCAACAATACAACTGTTGACACTAGAGCTCTTGCTGTATGTAAGAATGCATCAGAGCTCGTTGGAATGGATGAACCCAAGGCCCAGTTGATGAAATTGTTAACTGAAGGGGGTTTGTGTGTGTCAAGGCAACAACAACTGAACACCCGCAAAAGAAAAAGGAAACAACAACAGCAACAACAACCACCGAAGATGGTCGCTATAGTTGGATCTGGAGGAATGGGCAAGACAACTCTAGCAAAGCAAGTGTATGAAGATCTCAAAGGGCAATTCGAGTGTCATGTCTTTTTATCCGTTTCATGAAATCCAGACATGATGATTAAACTGAGAACTATTCTGAGTGAAGTTAGCGGCAAACCTTATGCTGACACGGAAACAGGGAGCATACAACACATCATCAACAAGATAAAAAAATATCTAGCAAACAAGAGGTACAATTTCTATTCTCTTACTTGGCATGCTATTATGTAATATTAAGACAGTTATCCAGATATTTCACGTGAAAGGCGTACTAGTAACTTGTCATCAAAATAGCTACAGTTGTGTAATTACATTTTATTACAATTTTCTAATTCGTCATCTGCTAGATGCATGTTGATGTCCAGAACAACTAGGTGAAATAGAACTAAAATCATGTAGATACAAATCAATATAAACAAACCAAAGAGAACATGACCATCTGTTTTCCTTTCTTCTGAATTCATACATCATCTCCAGTACATAACTCCATTCATTAACTTCACACAACATCCAAGGAGTAATTCCACCCTAATACCTCTCTATTTTATATATCTAGCTTTATTCAGCAAGTACCAAATGATTTGCATATTTACAAGCAAACTATTTTGGCACAAATGAATTTGAGCCAAACTATAACAGAATTCGAAATTACATCAAAATTTCTTAGTTTAAACGGATTTCCTTTTGTGGAGACAATTCAAATGGAAGTTACAGTCATTATGAACTGAAAACCAAAACAACTTATATTTACAAAAATGATTGCTTTTGGTGGTGACCAAAACTAATAATTGAAACTAAAATGTGGAACCATGGCTTTATTGCGTAGATTCATGGTTTGTTTCTCATGCCCACCCATAATTATTTGCACAGGTAAGATTATTCAATGCTCGTCTATCTATCAATCATCTCTTGCTTGAATTGTTGCATGAATATCAACAAAATAATATGTGTCTATTTTCCATGGGCATTCCTTCTATTTAAATTAGATGATACATTGAGCGTTGCAGTGGGAATTGGTTGAAATATATTTTGTTTACATTTATTTATATGGAATACGAATTTTTAATTCATAATATAAGAACTAAATTTATATTTTGAATAGATTTATTTGCATGGAATTGAAATTTAATATTATCAATATAATATAATTTTAAAAAAATATTTCCTATACTTAATTATTTAGTTCATTATTTTTGCATACATATTTGCATGTTGAGGCGGGTCTTTCCCATGCATATTTTCATGCTAAGATGGCATATGTGCATCTTGACAACAATAAGTTAGTTGGGGTTAGCTATATAGATTTTGGAAAATTTTGTTTTTGCCACTCTAGTTTACCCTTTTTTTATTATGCCACTCTTGCTCTTTACATTTCACTTTTGCAAGTCTAGCCTTGTCAAAGTGGTATAAACAAAATCCGATTTTTTTGTTTTTGCCACTTGAATTGTATTCGTGATACACCGTCAATAGCTAAGAGTTGAAAAAGTGGAATACCAAATTTTAGAGTGACATAAGGGATATGGGGAAAAGCTGCAGTGGCAAAAACAAAATTTATCCGTTACCGGAAAATTGATGATGTGTATATCTCTTTTTCTCCATAATGTGCCATACTATCACGGATATACACGAGTCATGTCCGCAATAGCATTTTTTTACAAGATTTCATTCTTTATGCTATTTAAATGAAAATCAAACTCGTAAATCCTTGTGCAGGTATTTTATTGTTTTAGATGATATATGGAAGACTGAAACATGGGAAATTATCAAGTGTTTATTCCCCATGACCAATTGTGGTATAATAATCACCACTACTCGTGTGGAAGATGTCGCTAGTTCATGCCAGTCATCATTTGGTGGCCATATCTATAGAATAAGACCTCTTGATATAGTTCACTCAAGACAATTATTTCATAGAAGAATATTCAAGCCTGTGGTGGATTGCCCATCATATCTTGAACAAGTTTCTGAGCAGATCTTAGAAAAATGTGGTGGCTTACCTCTAGCAATCATTGCTATATCTAGCTTGTTGGCTAACAAAACAGAAAAACATGATTGGTATGAAGTCAACAATTCGATTGGTCGTGCACTTGAAAGAAATCAGGATGTTGAAAGAATGATGAAGATACTATCGCTTAGTTACTTTGATCTGCCTTTTCATTTAAAAACTTGTCTCTTATATCTGAGTATATTTCCAGAAGACTCTATTATTAAGAAGAAGGGCTTGATAAGAAGATGGATTGCTGAAGGATTCATTCACAAAGAAGGCAGATACACGGTACATGAGTTAGGAGAAAGGTGTTTCAATGAACTCATAAATAGGGGTTTGATCCAACCGATGGATACAAATGACTATGGTAAAGTAAAGAGTTGTAAAGTTCATGACATGGTTCTTGATTTCATAATTTCCAAGTCTATTGAAGAGAATTTTATTACTTTGGTTGGTATTCCAAATCTACATATTGGTACACAAGGTAAAGTCCGTCGTCTCTCTCTACAAGGAGACGGGCAAGGAAAATTGATAATACCAACAGGTCTAGAGTTGTCTCATGTACGATCTCTTGATGTGTTTGGAGATTCTGTGGAAATCCCTTGCCTGCATGACTTCAGCCATTTGCGTGTTCTGGACTTTGATGGTCGCCCCCAATTGGAAGATCATCATCTTGTAAATATAGGGAGGTTGTTTCATCTGAGGTACCTAAACCTCAGTGACACATCAGTAAGGAATCTTCCGGAACAAATCGGGTTTCTTGGTTTTCTACAGATGCTAAACCTAAGAGACACCAGAGTAAGTGAATTACCGGCATCTATTATTAATCTTGGGAAATTGTCACATCTACTTGTTAACAGTAAAGTTAAATTTCCTGATGGAATTGCAAAGATGCAAGCATTGGAGGTGTTGAAATTCATTGGAGTCTCCAGGCAGACATCTAACTTCCTGCAAGAACTTGGGCAGCTAAAGAATCTGATGAAGCTGGCACTTAACTTTGATGAACTTTTTGCCACCCGAGATATGGTTCGCGTGGAAGCAATTGACTCTTCTCTTCGTAACCTAGGCACTCAGAACCTTCGCTCTCTAACTATTTCAAATGGAAGTAGCATCTTACAACATGGACCTTTCTCCTCTATGTTGCTTACCCTCCAGAAACTTAAGAAACTTGAGATTTGGCCAAATGTCCCAGTTTCAATATGGATGGGCTCTCTTGTCAACCTCCAACGGTTATCCCTTTATGCGGAGGAAGTCGGGCAGGAAGGTCTATGCATCCTTGGAGGCTTACCCACGCTGCTCATTCTGGAACTAATAGAAAAGGCAAGGCCTTATAAAGATAGGCTCACGGTTAGTGGTGAAGTTGGGTTCCGATGCTTGAGGCAGTTTAATTATGTACCTCAATGGATGTATCTGATGTTTGCCCTAGGAGCCATGCCCAAGCTAGAAAATATCGGGTTTTTTGTTGATGCGGATGAACCTATTAGTATTGGTGATTTTTATGATTTCGGAATGGAAAACCTCCCATGCCTTGTTACTATCAAATGTACAGTACTTAGATGCAACAACGAGGGCACTGTTGAGGCTGTAAAGGTTGCTATGGAGACAGTAGCCAGAACACATCCCAACCAACCTGATCTACTCTTTGAAATTATGTAGATGATGTATGGTGGCTGGTTACCACCTAGGACCCACTGCCACTTCAAGGTACTATTCCTTTCTCCCGACCAAAACCCACTAATTCCAAAGATTATATATGATCTTAATTTCATTGCCTCTTATGTTTAGGTTTTTGTCTTCTCATCGTTCCCATTACAGGCAATGAAGGGACAAATGTAGTGCCAGTTCTCGATCTCTTAAGGAGACAAGGCATTTGTACCAAAGTTCCACTATCTGATTCAATTTTACTAGAAGCACACACGCCTTGTGGGTAAACATAGCAAGAACCTCATGCGGTTCTCAAACTCAAGAGTTCTTTAATTGTATAAACAATTTTAAATGTTATTTTTTTAACATATCACAAACATTGTTTTGAATCCTATAAACATTTTCAAATGCATGAACATTTTTAGCATTGTATGTACATTTTTTAAAATGCTTTGAACATATTTTTTTGAAATGCATGAATATTTTTTAATGTCGTCATAACTTTTGTGAATGCTATCGACATTTCTTATAGGGTGGGATGAACATTTTTTAAATTTAAATAGAATATTCTTAAAATTTCAAATATATAAATAAAACCAAACAAACAAAAAATTGAAAAAGAAGAAAATAAAAACGTGTAGAACAGTAGACGGCCCGGCCCATTTGTTTCATTATTCAAAAGTTAACAGTTGACCGATTGACCTATCAGTATTCGTATCATACAAAACAAATTTGTATCATACAGAAAAATGTTTCAAATTTTGAAACACATGATTTTTTTTCCTTCAAATTGATGAACTTTTCTAAAATTTGTGTTTGCAAAATCGGTGAACTTTCTTTCATTTTTGCTGATTTTTTTTCGAAATCAATGAACTTTTTTAAATATTCATAAAATTTTCTGAAGTTTGAGAACTGTTTTTCAAAATGATGAACTTTTTTTCAAATTTGCAAACCTTTTGTAGTTTTTGAACTCTATTCAAAATTGATGAACATTTATGAATTCACAATTTTTTAATTTGTAAACAAAAAATCATACGTTTTTCAAAAGTTAACATTTGACCGGTCAATCTGTCAACTGTTGACCCACGAAACAATCTGTCTCGAGTCCAAACCAGTTAAGTTTTTTAGACACATTCAAATGAGTTAGGTGCGAGGGGTTAACGGGCCAGCCCATTGTGGTAGGCTAGTGGGGCACCATAACTCTCTTAGCCAGCACATAAGGCGTTAACTAGTAGCTCCCCATATGTCGGGCGGTGGAGGTAAGCCCTTGTTCCATGTCTCAATAAGTGCGACATAGCTTCAGAAAAAGCCGCGCCCTCTAGTGAGCGCTCTACTGGGCCGGCCCTTTTCCGTAGCACATACCACCTTTTAATGGTTTTCATCTGTTTTTCTTCATGTTTTTTAGTTTCCTTTTTTCCTTCTTTATTGTTTTTTTGTTTTATACATTTTCCCTTTCTGTTTTTCTTAGTTTTCTTTGTTTCTTTCACATTTTCCCTACTATTTTTTTGTTTCTTTCTTGGTTCTCTTCACTTATTATTATTTTTTAATTATTTTTCATTACAATAATACCTTGTTCATAGATATTTTCGTATAGAGCATGAACATTTTTAATGTACTTTTAACATGTTTCCAATACATGACTAAACTTTTACCATAAACATTCTATATAAGTAGCTTTTTGTCCAAACCAGTTAAGTTTTTTAGACACATTCAAACGAGTTAGGTGCGAGGGGTTAACGGGCCAGCCCATTGCGGCAGGCTAGTGGGGCACCATAACTCTCTTAGCCAGCACATAAGGCGTTAACTAGTAGCTCCCCATATGTCGGGCGCCGGAGGTAAGCCCTTGTTCCATGTCTCAATAAGTGAGATATAGCTTCAGAAAAAGCCGCGCACTCTAGTGAGCGCTCTACTGGGCCGGCCCTTTTCCGTAGCACATACCACCTTTTAATGGTTTTCATCTGTTTTTCTTCATGTTTTTTATTTTCCTTTTTTCCTTCTTTATTGTTTTTTTGTTTTATACATTTTCCCTTTCTGTTTTTCTTAGTTTTCTTTATTTCTTTCACATTTTCCCTACTATTTGTTTGTTTCTTTCTTGGTTCTCTTCACTTATTATTATTTTTAATTATTTTCCATTACAATAATACCTTGTTCATACATATTTTCGTATAGAGCATGAACATTTTTAATGTACTTTTAACATGTTGGATACATGACTAAACTTTTACCATAAACATTCTATATAAGTAGCTTTTTGTCCAAACCAGTTAAGTTTTTTAGACACATTCAAACGAGTTAGGTGCGAGAGGTTAACGGGCCAGCCCATTGTGGCAGGCTAGTGGGGCACCATAACTCTCTTAGCCAGCACATAAGGCGTTAACTAGTAGCTCCCCATATGTCGGGCGCCGGAGGTAAGCCCTTGTTCCATGTCTCAATAAGTGAGATATAGCTTCAGAAAAAGCCGCGCACTCTAGTGAGCGCTCTACTGGGCCGGCCCTTTTCCGTAGCACATACCACCTTTTAATGGTTTTCATCTGTTTTTCTTCATGTTTTCTAGTTTCCTTTTTTCCTTCTTTATTGTTTTTTTGTTTTATACATTTTCCCTTTCTGTTTTTCTTAGTTTTCTTTGTTTCTTTCACAGTTTCCCTACTATTTTTTTGTTTCTTTCTTGGTTCTCTTCACTTATTATTATTTTTTAATTATTTTTCATTATAATAATACCTTGTTCATACATATTTTCGTATAGAGCATGAACATTTTTTAATGTACTTTTAACATGTTTCCAATACATGACTAAACTTTTTCCATAAACATTCTATATAAGTAGCTTTTATGTATATATATATACCATTTTTGAAATACATAATTTTTTAATACTATCAATATATTTGTAAGCTACGTTGATCATTTTTTACACTGCACTAACATTTTCAAAATACATGGTATATGAACTTTTTAAAGTTGGTTTAAGTTCTTAGAATATATGTATTTATAATATTTTTGAAAATATGGACAAAAGAAAAAAGAATGAATGGAAAAGACAGAGAAGATAACAAACTAACCTGGGACGGTCCATAGCGACAAGAAGGCAAAGCTACTTGAGGCGAGTGACATGTGGCCACGCCCCTTAGGAGAAACCCATCAAGCAGAAGGCCAGAAAGCCAAAAGAGAAGCACAACCCTTGTGTTGGGTTGATACGTCTCTGTCGTATCTATAATTTTCGATTGTTTCATGACGATATTTTATAACTTTTATATACTTTTGGCAACATTTTATATTATTTCTGAGACTAAGATATTGATCCAGTGCCGATCATTAGTTCCTGTTTTTTGCATGTTTTTTTTGTTTCGCGGAAATTCTATATCAAACGAAGTCTAAACGTGACAAAAAATTTACGTAGATTTATTTGAAATATATGTGATTTGGGGGAGTGGGAATCAGCGCAAACAGGGCCCAGGGCCTCCACTAGGCACCTAGGCGCGCCCATACCCCTGGTTGCGCCGTGGTGCCTAGTGGGCACCTGCTAAGTCGGTTGGGGTCCTTCTTCAGCCGCAAGAAATCTTTATATCCGGAAAAAGATCGTGTTAAAATTTCAGCTCAATCAGAGTTACGAATCTCCGGATATTTAAGATACGGTTTTCGGCCAGAAAATAGGACGCGAAACAGAAGAGAAAAACAGAGAGGTATATCCAATCTCGGAGGGGCTCTCGCCCCTTCACCACCATGGAGGCCATGGACCATAGGGGAAACCCTCCTCCCATCGAGGGGGAGGCCAAGGAAGAAGAAGAAGGAGGAGGAGGTGGCTCTCTCCCCTTCTCTCCCGGTGGCGCCGGAGTGCCGCTGGGGCAAGGATCAAGACGGCGATCTAGACCAACAACCTCGCTACCGTCATGATGACCCACAAGTATAGGGGATCAATCGTAGTCCTTCTGATAAGTAATAGTGTCGAATCCAACGAGGAGCAGAAGGAAATGACAAGCGGTTTTCAGGAAGGTAATGTCTGCAAGCACTGAAATTGTTGGCAACAGATAGTTTGATAGCAAGATAATTTGTAACGAGTAAGTAACAGTAACGGTAAATAAAGTGCAGCAAGGTAGCCTAATCCTTTTGTGGCAAAGGACAGGCCAAGACGGTCTCTTAAAAATAGCAAAGCATTCTTAAGGGCACACGGGAATTTCATCTAGCCACTTTCATCATGTTTGTTTGATTTGTGTCCGCTACTTTGATAATATGATATGTGGGTGGACCGGTGCTTGGGTGTTGTTCTTACTTGAACAAACCTTCCACTTATGATTAACCCCGTCGCAAGCATCTGCAACTAAGAGAAAAGTATTAAGATAAAATCTAACCATAGCATTCAACATATGGATCTGATGTCTGCTTGTGAAGCGTCTGTTTTTCCCCAAAGAGGAAAGGATGATGCAGCACAGCGAGGGTAAGTTTCCCTCAATGATGAGACCAAGGTTATTGAACCAGTAGGAGGACCACACAACACTATGTAAACGGTACTTGCACACTGATGACCCACAAGTATAGGGGATCTATCGTAGTCCTTTCGATAAGTAGGAGTGTCGAACCCAACGAGGAGCAGAAGGAAATGATAAGCGGTTTTCAGCAAGGTATTCTCTGCAAGTACTGAAATAAGTGGTAACCGATAGTTTTGTGATAAGATAAATTGTAACGAGCAACAAGTAACAAAAGTAAATAAAGTGCAGCAAGGTGGCCCAATCCTTTTTGTAGCAAAGGACAAGCCGGAACAAACTCTTATAATGAGAAAAGCGCTCCCGAGGACACATGGGAATATCGTCACGCTAGTTTTCATCACGTTCATATGATTCGCGTTCGGTACTTTGATAATTTGATATGTGGGTGGACCGGTGCTTGGGCGCTGTTCTTACTTGAACAAGCATCCCACTTATGATTAACCTCTATTGCAAGCATCCGCAACTACAACAAAACTATTAAGGTAAACCTAATCATAGCATGAAACAGATGGATCCAAATCAGCCCCTTAC